GGGAAAACCGTTTCAAAAGACTTGTGCGGCCAATGTCGTATATGATTTGCTTACCGTGATAGACTGGCCGAGATAGATGTATATATTTCTACTTTTCAGATTGTGGTTAATTCAGCTGAAAAGTCCATTCCATGATGATACAGTTAATAAGATTGTTTTGAATAACCGTGAATAAATTAAGCGTGCCGCATCGCTTCTTCTGTAAAGCGAAGGGCACATCTCTTAACCTTTTCCTTGGTTACCTACTGTAAACTAAAATAAACATTGTATTCTTTAGTTGTTTTTCAGAAAGCAACGTATCTACAAGAGACCTAGTAGATGCTACAATTTTTTGATCTGTTGGAACAAGCTGATCACATTTTGTCAGCCAATGTAATTATTGTTCGCGATTTAACGAGCATAACCTTATTCAGAATAAATTCAGGAATAAACAAATCAGTTGCGTTGTACATGGTCTATGCATTCATTGCGTAATTTCCAGTGTATTTTGCAATTGCAGAAGTATAGAGTATTCTTTCAAGCAACTGTTTTATGGCCGCCAAACTGCAAGTTTTGGTCTAACAAAAAGACTGTTAACTCGTCAAGTTTCATTCACAATAATATAACTGTAAGCTGGGTTCAGTGGGAAACTGTTTCGAGTTGTTCTTAAAATCAGCTCTTGGATGGCGGAACTGCCGTAGTAAATCATACTCACGCGAGCTGGAAATTGTAGCCAACCATTACAGTACTTCTCTCTCCAAACAGACGACCGGCGCATTTACTAAAGTAACATTGATCTGGACTTCTGTTTAAAGTGTTCAATCTGCAGAGGTATCAGCATTCGAGCTATGCCAGAACAACAAATAATAAACTAATCCATGAACAACTAAGGGAAACCCTGAATCCCATTCCCGCTATTCTTAGGAATGCTTAGGGTGAGTATCGTGTGCTTTACTTGTAACCATGCAAACAGAAACTCGCGTTTTGTCTTGTTTAAGTGTGGCATTGACCGGCTGTCTACCCTATCACTATGAATATTCAACTTGTAAAGAAGACTTCACTTTTCTACGCTGCTTTTTCACTGAAGGCTTCTTTTAATTGCTCGACAGTGCTTATCATTACCGAAAGACGGCCGAAACAAAATAGACAGATACCAAAACGTTTCACTTACCATACGAGAAGAGCAATCCTTGAAGGATCGTCATGATCAATGTCGCCATGAGATAAAATGTTGCCATGTCGCCACTCGTTGCAAACGGGGTCACTTTCAAGATACCTCTCCAAAAAATTTCACTCCAGACTCTGCTGACGAGAAGATAACCAGAAAATGGAATTTTAGATTGCTTGTGAGATTTAGTGGGGGAGGGAATAAAGAAAAAAACTTACGGGTTGCACTCACGAACACATGCGAAAGCGAAGTGAGGGCAAAGGATGATTTATTGATCTTTCAATTTTTCCAATCACCGCCTTGTAACCATAGCGATCGCCACTAAACACCGTTATATCCCTTAGGCTACTCTTTGTTCTTTTTGCGGTATCACGTAGCTAAATATCTAAGCTTGATTACTCCTGCACAAAGTCCCAGGAATTATTTCCACAAAGTTGAAAATACCAGACTACTTAAGATATAATGTAAAGACATAACTAAAAGAACTTTTTGAGAACTTTGATTCATACTAACCAAGTGAAAAATTACAATTTACAGGCTATGAGAACATGCAGATAATTTGATCTGTTTTATGCCTTGAACGCCTTAGCTTGGTAATTGTGAAAAAAATGAATTTTTCAAAAACGGTTTTCATCTCCCTCCACAATTCTAACTTAAAATGCCGGAAATATAGACAAAATTCCAAAAATGAAAGGTAAACTGTGCAAGACAAACAGTGTGGCCGAGTGGTTAGGGCGCTGAACTTGAAATCCGGAGGCCGCGGGTTAAAGTCCCGCTCTCACCACTAAGCTGGAGTTGTTTCTCGGTAGACCCCAGTTCAACTCCTCGGTCATGTTTGTAAATAGCCAACTGGTCTGCCTCCCGCCAGTTGGGATTTTTAACCCTATTATGTGTAGTTGATATATTTTTTTCTGTCAGTTTAAGTGGCATGACTGTGAACTAGCTAGGTGTAGCTAAGCGCATTGACCTCTATAAACAACAATATTTGAACATTTTTTTTTTTTTTTTGAACAGCACACTTATTAAAAAACAAGCTTATTCAAATGAAATTACACCGTTCCAGTTGAAGTCTCTTGATACAATAGAAAGAGGTAAGAAGTACCAGACTAAGTGCGAGTTCGCCGACTACGACTTTTAAAACCTGGTGCTTTGCTTTCAGGCGGTGAGCAATCCTATGTCGAGAGTCCTGGTCAACTCGTGAGTAACAGAGAGTTCGGAATGAATTTCGACATTCGCGCTAGCTAGTTCCATCTCGCACTCGTTTTCCTTTCTGAACGCCCACACATGCGTCTGAGGCATTGTTTTGTCTGAGCTCTTTACGAAACACGACGTGATTTGCAACTGATTTCCATTTTCGGCACGTCAGTAGAATGTGAAATAATGTTCGGAACGTTTAACCTTTTTTCATGTTCTGGCTGAGTGCTTACACGAAAACAAGAGTCTCTGCACTGAATAGTAATGAAACTCAGGCTGTAATTAAGGGGGCCACACCACTGTATCTTACGTCATTCTGTTCAATTTTGCTAACTAAGAATTCTAAACGTCAATGGGGTCAGCAGCTGTCTCATCATTAGCATACTGCCGACCAGATATTAAGAATGACGATTTCAGTTCAACAAGTTTAACATTTGTAACACTTATAAATTGACCTAAACCAGAAAAAAAGTCGGGCCATGGCTTTTCAAGTTTACCCTAATCCATAATCCAATCTGTTTTGATTTCTCCAGTCGTGCCCTTCCATGTTATCTTTGATTTCTTTGTTTCGTTTGAGTTTGTCTGAAGTTGTAAGTCATTATTGCGATGTCACCTATATATATGGGACAGCGATATATCCAGAAAGCAAATGAGCCAATGGTGGCCAGCCAGCCATGAATTCTTTTCGTCTTCTTTTTTAATCTGATGATGCCGTAGCACGCACTAACTCACTCTCTTCACGATCACTACAAATTGCCTCACAAACAGATTGGCACACGGACACTTATTCTGAAATCAAAATTTGAGAAATGTCACATAATTAAAGATATAATAGCACCCCTTCGTGATCAAGTTTTATTGATCAACATCAGACTTCATGGATTTTAAAATAAAAGGCTATTATAGATATTATGGTAGGCTGGGAACGCAGACCGGCGTATTTCTGGATTACAGCCGAAAATACGTCTGCGTTCGCAGGCCAATGCCATACATGATATGAATAGGTTTGTAAATACTCAGCGGATTTCTAGATTAGGAAATTTGAAAATTATGGTAAACCTAACATTAGTCTATCACTATTCTCGACTTCTCTTCAAGACAAAAGAGAGAAACGACTATTGCAAAATTTCGTTCCCATGGAAACTCATTCCTTTGTTGACCCCCACAACTTGTTTCCAATATGTCAGTGATAATTAAACCAGGTCAAGAACTTGACCTTACACCTTTATATGGCTGCCAGATCGTGCAGATGAGGCATATCATTGGAGAATATAAACATGGAACGGATTATGGAACACGTAAATGGCCAGAAATTCTTTTAACATTTGAAACCCAGTATGTTACCAAGTGAACAAAATTGTTACGCTCATATTGTGAAACCCATCTAGAAGAGTCTTCCTCAACATAATTTCAAACAAACATTTCTGATGCAAATTGGTTGGGATATTTTTTTTGTCATATCTGATCTAAAATAGGTTGAGTTTATGACGCTATTACCTCTTGAATTTGATATATTTGTTAAACTTGAATATCTTCGGGACGATGAGATGTATTTATAGACAATAAACAGCATTTTTCTTCTCGTTTATACTGCTTGTTGGCTTAGGTAGGGCAGATGAGAATTTCGTCGTAAAAGCGCTCGGATTTTCCGAAAACTTTAACAAACAAAGAAGCCTAAGCCGTGAATTATACTGTGATAAAACACGACGGGCATTTGAGAACACGAGGTAAATGTAGAAAACACGAGCCGCAGGCGAGTGTTCTCAAATGTCCAGTAAAAAAGCAAAAACAATACAAACAATTTTCGAGGCGCGTCTTGCATGACAACCCATTACTACGTACAGCTTGATTTAGGCTACATGGAGGCTGTTGAAAGTCAATTCTTAGCGCGGCTACAGCGTTCATTTGCAGCCATCAATTATGATGCAAAACAACCTTCAAGCAGTATAGCAGGTTTATGTTAAGACACACATTTTTTTATGAGGACGTGATTGCATTCATGTCTTCACTTGTACACACTCTTTTATTAAATGGATATCTGAGCTTTTAATGTTTTACAAAATGTTCAGTGGGTGATACATGTAGGCTAATATAATATTCTAGTACAAATTTACCTGTTTACATCGAGTACTGAAATGAGATACGTTCTCTCAGTAAGTACAGTGTGGAACAATTAATGATATTTCTTCATCCTGAAGGAAAAACTAAAATAGCGAACAGCTATGTGAAAAAGCAAAAAGAAACGTCGGATAAACAACTTAAGCCTACACCAGGTATGGGCGGAAAATTTTCCAAAAAATCTATATACTGTAACGTACCAAAAGATCTTTTATGCGATGAGTAGTATTCGACATAAGAAAATAATAAAAACAACTGATTTTCTTTATACTAGCGTAGACTTAACCCTTTTATGCGTCAACGTTTCTTGAAATAATTTCATCGCAGGCTTGACTGGGAAATTCTTACACTACAAAACGTGGCAGTTTCCCAGTTGTCAGCAAAAATACTGCCGGGGTTTATCACAAGATTTTGTCAGGTGTTAGTTAATCATCTTGTAAACTGACGAAATCCGTTCGCCTTCATTACTCATCACCCATGTCGACCCCATCTTGCTTCATGAATGAATTTGCAATGCATAGATTTACACATTTATGGTACTTAGATATAAAATTAACTGCTCTCAGTAATCTACATTTAAATCTCGCACACTTTTGTTTACTTAGATATAAAATGAACTGAACTAATCTACATTTTAATCTGACACACTTTTGGTTACTTAGATATAAAATTGCCTGCTCTAATTTACATTTTAATCAACTTTTAATAACAAGTTAATACTTCTAGTGTGCTAACTAGAGATAACATACGTTACTTGCCGTGCAGAATACATGACTGTACACTCTAAAACCGTTAGTATTTTAACCTTAGTTGAAAATCAGTCAACCGGCAATCCTTGGTGCCCTTTGACTAAACGACGATGTTTGAAAGATAACTTGCTAACGTTCTTCTACTGTATCACCCTTACTAATATCTCGAGTCTCCCCGTTTTGAAAGGAATCCAGAATTAAGGAGTGTTGTACGAAACCTCGCACACCTTTGGCTACTGTTTTTGTAAGACGTATTCGTTCCACCTGATCAATCTTGTGTTTCAACTGTTCTTTTGCAAGGCTATAGTCTGTTTCCATACTTGGTCCTTTAAAAGAATATCGTTCTGTGGAGCAAATGATGAGGACAAAAATCGTTAATTGTGAAATGTTAAATTGTTAAAACGAATCAACGTTGTGATACGCGCCGATCCTTACAAATGCCTCTAAACGCAAGGCAATTTTGCATTCAAGGAGGCAAAATAAAGACACATAATTATTTCAATTATTCTTTGATAAACCAGACAAACATGAGTTATATGAAGCATTTTTAGTTAAAAGACCTGGCTCTTTCTAGGGTTTTTGTAGTAAAAAAAGTAACAGACGAGAAAGATAACCTTTAAATATCTATCTTATTTCTTGCTGTGGTCTCTACAATTTAAGTCCATTTCGTTACTCTACTATTTATTTCACTTGGCTTGAATCGTCATGCAGAAATAATCATAGTAAATAAAGGGGAATGATTATAAAAGTCGACAAAAACACAAAAGTTGTTTACTCCGTAGTGAGGAACTAGCCAATAGAAACGTTTTGGTTACGTAATTAGCTAACGACTACAACTTGTAATATATATGTAATTAACTGGCAACCTGGCATTTCTAACTATTTCAGGTTATTTCAGGTTGTCAGTTACCCTAATTTAATTTAATTATTACGGTACTATGTAATTTAATTTATTAAAAGGAAGGGATAAATAAAGATGTCGTTGTTGATGTTGATGTAACTTGATGTAATTCATGCATAGTGTATGAGCGCAAAACAAAAGATTGTGCACGGACGTGGACCTTCCAACACAAATCTTGGCATCTTTGTTTGCCCCTTTGATGTATGCCGGGTTTCATAACCATTTCCCTCTAAAAACTATGAAATAATGAAACTCAAGTTG